TCTTGAGTGGGAAGTTGAGCAATCTGATACTCCAATAGAGCTGCTCTGCTTTTAGCACAAACTCTCTTACCCTACTGTTATTGTATAATATGACTAATATAATTTCCAGAACTATAATTAAAAAAACCAAACCAATAAACAACGCCCCCCCCCCCAAACAAACAAACACACACAAATCGGACAACCTCTGTAAGGCCAAAAAGGGTTTAGCAGGCTATTAGGGTAACTGGGCCATAGATCAGATCTTCCTCCACATTCACACAAAACAAAGCACATCACTGGCATTGAAATTCACTGACCAATTAAGTTGACCTCTGATCAAATAGTCACAGGTTGCTTTTGCAGACTGACTTGCACATTATTAATCTGGGCTATTCAGAGATCTGGCACAAAGCGTATGGGACAGTATGATACTCCCAAATGAGTAGTGGTGCAGAAAACAGAGCTAAGCAAGGGGACAGAGATAGGAGAACATAACAGATGAAAAAATGAGAAGGGCTATCAACATGAATGAAAAGTTCCCAGTTTATCATTTTCCAACAAAACACCAGTTCATTGCCAATGACAGAAACTAGTTGTGTCCTGCAAGAAGCTGTTGGCTGCTAAGTTTTCCTTTGTTTCTTTGCTTGGAAAATCTGACTGATTTTTTGGAAACTAAAAGACTGCACGATAATTGTTAACTGCTAATAAATTCATTGTTGGCTGTGGCATTGTTTATTTTTTCTTAAAATAGGTGCTGTACCAGTTAGAGAACTATGGGGTAAGGTAAGAATGCTTGGTAAGTCAATTTTACATGCATGGGTACATGCTGTGTTAGTAACAGTTCACAGGCCTGACTATGCTAATAAAGTCATTAAAACACAAAAGGAATAAAGGTTGATGTACAAACCTATCATGTGTTTGCAACCTACGTGAGCTGTTTAACTAATTAATTATGCAAATCTATGTTCCCCCAGAGTTTTAAAACATTAATCAGAATTTTTAGCATTCCTTTGTAAATGCAAGCTGTTCCATAACAGAACCAATGAAAAACTTGCTTCCTTTTTCATTTTGCCCTTTCCTCTAAAACTGCTGCCCTCATTCTGCTTCTTGCCATGTTTTCAGAGATCCATCTCTGCCAACAGACTGTAACTTCAGAACAAACTATGTCAACAATAAACACCCCATCCCCAAATATAAACTTGCAAACCACCCCCCCCAGCCAATTTCAAAACTCCCTCACACACAGAAAAACCCCAACCCTCCCAGAAAAAAACCAACCCCAAATCCATCACAAAGTCAGAAATATTCTGCATACCTTAGTATGCAAAGGTATGCACATTATAAACTTTTGTGGAAAAGCTACGGTACTTGGACCTAGAACTGAGTTATTCAGTGGAAGTCTCTAGTGAAGGCCTGACTACTAAATCAGTTGGGAAGAGTAAAAACATTCTTAAATTTAAGTGTCTGCCTGCATACAGCATAGCCAGGTTCCTTTATCAATAGCTTTCTGTGGCAACCTAAGTAGAAGTCTAATATTAACCCCTCTTTTATAGAGCTTTTTAAGTGACAACATATTTTTTATGTGTGTTAAAACTCCTATGAACTCTAGATTCAGTTCCCTTCCATCTCACCAGTTCACCACCATTTGGCCACTTGTGTTTACAAAGTAAATAAAACCCCATTACTTTTGATGAAACAAAGAGCTCCACTAATTCAATTTTCTCCATCCCATTCCTTCATAATTTTTAAGTATATAAACTCTCTATAAATTATATGAACAAAGATGTTTTGCAACTTTGCTTACCTATATTTAAATCTACATTTCCTTCCTACTGTCACAGATCACTTTTTATATTCATGTAGTTTTTTTATATTAAATTTGTCCATAACCAAATATTGCACTTCCAAATCTCATAACATTTGCTTACCTCCCTCTTATTACCAAGTCTCTAGTCTGCCTTATATTGATATTTTAAAAGGTGCAGCTGTCCTTTTACTTTTATAACATCTAAATGTCATAATTTACGGTGAACATTATGCATGAACTATCTAAAGTTTCTGGTTTTAGTCACAAAAGCCAAAGAAGTGAATATGAATAAAACAAAGGCACACAGGTAATTTTGCAGACAAACCAGCAAACTGCTGGGTACCTGGCTGTGCACTAAAACATTTTCATCATCTGTTATCAAAAGTTCTTTATGTGCATTTCAGTATTTATATTTGCATTAGTTAAGAAAACAAAAAAGCTCCAGCATTTTTATCCATCTTTTACACAGCTTTCAAGTTTCTACTTTTTCCTCATCTACTCTATTTCTAACAGGGACTGGCTCTTCATAACAACTTCTTAGACTTTTGTAAAAAGGAAAAGTTTGGTTAGTAGAACACCCTAGAGAAAAAACATTTGTCATTTAATCAGTACTATTAAAATAACAGTGCTATTGAAATATCCCATTCTCACTTTCAACTATCCACAAACGATGTTCAGGTTCCTAGCAGAAAACTGCCTTTATAATACAAAGTTATGGAATAAGTATAGCATACACAATATCTCTTAAATAGTATATGAGTGATATCACAAAAGAAAATAACAGCCATTTGTCAGCTATTTGACATATGAAGCTTCATGAATAAATTATACAATGAGAAAAAGGGATACAGATTTATCACTAACCACTATACTGCTTCAACACTGCAGGAAACTTTGCTTGCAATGATTGTATCAGTTTTGACAACAACTGAATACACTTATTTAATTTTTGACCTAATCTGTCTTCAATGTCTTTCACGCTGCTTTACTGCTCTCACCGGTCTAGGAAAAAGCAACTAAAGGGTGAAGGCCTAATAACTTTAAACTAGGCATCTATTCAATCACTTTTAAAGAAGATTATTTTATGAACTGGGAGGGGAGGGGGATAGATATCAGTCAGCATTTTTTCAGCATAAAATAACCCAACTCTATTACGTGTGGCCACTTCATGAAAAAGAAAAAAAGGCACAAGAAAACATGATATAGCCTCAGATAAATACAATTTAGAGGATCAAAAATACAGGAATTAAACCTGCTTCAGATGTGCCAAAATGATTCACCTGACTTGAAATTCAATGTTACTGAATTCAGAGTAGAGATGCCAGCACATTTTTCTTGTGTGTTTGCTCTTCTCAAAACATACAGTAGCAAATATGCTCAAGTTCAAAACTGGCAACCATTCAAAAACACATTTCTAATCTTTAGCTTAATAATACCAAAAAACAGATAAGTAAATCTTCCTAATGGTACAACAGTTCTGGGCCCAGCTCCATACAAATCTTCTTAATAAGTTTCTTTCAGATTTTCAAAGCAGACACTTCTGTTAAGCATTTCCATGTTATATGAACCACTTCTTCCAGCTGAAAACTGTTTCACTGAAAAGTTAGATAGGTTTATATAACTGGAAATGAAGAAGATTTTGGAGATTTTTATAGTGTTATAGGAATTAATATTACAGGTAATATTTACTCCCAAAACACTTTCAGCCAGCAACAGAACCTAAGTTAGGGCAGGCAAGAAAGAGCAACAGAAGTTACAGTATTCCTTGTTTACTGGCATTAATTCTTTTCCTAATAACTGGGGAGTAGCTAAGCTTTCTAAAACATTAACACATTTAAAAGTATATCAACAATAGTCAGTATGATCTTCATTAAAAAATGCTACAGTATCACCATATTGAGTAAGCATAGCCTCAATAGCTGCTGTCTCAGTATAAGAAGCATTTTTACTTGTCAGACACCTCAAAACCCATTTACAGACTTCCCTGTAAGTTGTTTACTACTAGGAAATTGTTCGCCTGCAGAAAAATTGTTGTGCTACTTTACACTTCTTGTTTTGAAAACTTTCATCCATGGTCTAGATTTTATAAACATAGAATAGCCAGAACTGTAGTCACTTTACAATTTCACTTAAATTGCATTACAGATAGAGAGGCAGTTCATCAAAGGACATACTGCAACTAAACCAGCAGATATGAGAAGGTAAGATAGATGTGTGCAGCATTAATCTTTCTAACCCCTGAAATACAAAGTTAAAAATCTTACAAAAATGATTCCAATGCAGCACTCTACTAATATTCCTCTTGTTCACCCAGGGGCTTCTCACAACAGTAGGTCAGAAATCTGCTCCTGTAAGCTCCTGAGACAAAGGTTTTACCTAAAACATTAGCAAAGAGCACAGTTCTCTCTCTTGCTATCAATCTACTCGGAACAAGGCTCATATACACACTAGCAACTGATGTTTCAACAGAAACAACCAAAAAAGCCCCAAATACCAAAGAAAAGTCAAAGCTCTTAATGCTTGAAGTCCTAAGAGATGTACTGAAATTTGAAAGAAAAAACTATTTGCCAGTTGCATATCATTGTTATGGATGAATTTTACCTAAGCAATTGTTAAATTTCATTTAAGGAACTCAGAGCATTCATTTCTTGTGTTGCATTCAAGAAGTAATGATGGCAGAAGTCATTAAGTGATTGCAGTTTTCTTAATTTTACTATGTATAGATGATGTAAACTTTGATTAACTATTCTAAAGCAGTTTTTCACATTCCATTCAAAAGAGTCTCATTTCTCTGTATGGCTATTTTGTACTAGTACACGAAGCTGTCTAACTCAATAAAATTCCAGGATTAAAATCTAATGAGTTGCATCCAAAATGGTCAAAGTTAATAGGTTTTCTGCGTAAAAGCGAAGTCTAAGGAAAAGATGTTGAAACACTAAAATTTGCAGTATTTCAGAAAGAATATATTAAAAATGCTATATTAATAAGGGCCAATGAACAGTTCACAGTCTCTTCCCTTTGACATGAATTTCAGTATTCATGCAAAGTAATACAAAAGCAACTTATACAAGTTTATTCCAGCTAACAATCAGTGTTTCAAGGCAAGCAGTCCAGCAGGTATGGTCTCTTCACCTTTTGCTTGCCTTTAGTTTCTCTATGGACCACACTGCATCATAAATTTCAAGTTAAAACAAAACTGGTTGGGCCTTACCTCTGTCACTGAAGTCATCCACAAGAATGATTTCTGCTATCAGGCTGTCTGGAGTGCGGTTGATAATACTGTGTATTGTTCGCAAAAGTGAAGTCCAGCCTTCATTATGAAATGGGATAATTATGCTAGTATTTGGTAGCTTTTCCAAGTACACCTTGTGCTTACAGCTGGAGAGACAAGAAAATAATTGTATAAGCATACTGAAAAGTCTAAGTCAGCATATCCTGCTATCCATTTGGGCCATTCAACCATCATGGTTTCTGGCATAAAATCTAACAGTATAATCAAGCAGCACTTTCATGTGACAATAACTAGCTCATTTGAAATATTTATATTGCTTACAACATACAATAAATTTGAACAATTACAAAAGTTAAGTGGAATGAATAAAAAATTTAACTGGCTGGAATTAGATTGTTTTCCTTCATTAGAAACTTCTTCCTGCAAAATGACAGAGGACACATCTTCTATGACATTATTTCCAAAAACCAAATCCTCTTATCAGAAAGAACTGTGAAACATAATATGAAGCAAGAGAAAATCTGAAATGATCCTTCTTTTGTCCATAGCAGACAAAATTTGTAAAAACAGTCTACTATACTAAGAGACAAACTTCAGAAAACAATTCAGTATTATCTTGGGTGACATGTGCTTACAACATGCAAAACAACAACATCCACAAATAAAACTCCAACTTCACAACTAGATATCCAAAATGATTGCTGCTATTAAATACAGAGATAAAACAACACGTGATTCTGAAAATGCAGATTGATACAAGAAAGAAAATGTAAATAACCTTTCATTTTTGAAGGAAAGCACTGCACCTTCAGCACCTTAATTCAACAGCATCTATGTAACATCAGTGCTTAACCTTACAATTTTCAATATTGTGTTGTTTACATATTTCAGCAAAACCTCATTCTTTAAAAATAAATAATGGCCTTGCAATTCAGTGTCTCTTATAGCTGAAAATATTTCATGAATAATGTTTAGGTTACTGAAACTGATAGGATCTCCTCTTTCATGTTTTGTTGAAAAAGGGGGAAAAGGGACACATTCCTCTGTTGTTACCATGGCATGGCATTTTCAGCTCTGGGGACAAAGTAACTGAATGATTTCTCATTCCCCAAGAGAAAGTCGCACCCTGATAAAGGTATCCCTCCAAGCAGAAACATGTCAGTTTTGTGATAAACAAACAAAAGCAACAAAAAAAAAAGGAAAACAGTTTAGACCTGCAGCTTGTAGGTTTAAAAAAGCAGATATCTTTGCTGATTTTCAGAAAGAAAAATTATGCATATCAAATACTGCTGTAGGTTATAATGTTGATTTACATATATTTGCAGCTTAGTTTGCATTTCCACTTTATAAATGTCACTTAGAAATCAATATTTACCAATTTATTGTACAGCTACTACACTGAAGAAATGTTCCAAAGAAATAATAAAAACTCATAGCTACTACAGCTATATTTGCAAAAGATTAACTGTTATGTAGTTGTGAATAAACAATCAAATTTTTGGATGCTTTCCTAAAAAATAAGATTTAAATTTTTAACTCAGACATTTCTTCTTAAAACGTGGCAATAATTAATTTAATGATAAGCCATTTGCAAAAATAATACTTTTTGAAAATCTTAATAAGCAGTTTGCTGGTAGAACATATATGCACACTGGAAAAAGGATAGTTACTTTGCAAGAATGTGAACTTTTGAAGAAAACAGTGCACATTACCTAGTGACAGAAAAGTCTAAGTATATATTCTAACATTTTGCGAGGGAAAAAAAATCCACTGCAGCAATAGAGTTCAGTAAAAATTCTTTTTCTTATCTGTAGGAAGAAGTACAACAAAGGAAGCCCATTATTAATGTGTAGCTGTTTCAGCTGGCAAATTAAGAAAACCGCCCACCAAAACCACCGCCTACTGTTGCCAGCTGTTTGCTGACAGTGATGCTTCTTGGACTAGAACAAGTGCAACTACTATACATACATGTAATTCTTACGCTATTTTTGAAAGCAAGATTTTTTCCTTTAGCATTTTTAACTCCCAATAAGTATGATTTTAAAACCAGTAAGTTCTCCATCTCCATAAAACCCCAAGCCAACAAACAAAAACCAAAAATACCACACAAAACCAAGGAAAAGAACGCCACGTGTCAGACTACAACTTCTAAAGAGCAAGGGGAAAAAAACCAAAAACACACAAAACCACCCAAATACATCAGAATGTTGTTTCTTTTTAAAAATGTTGCCTCTCCTGTATAACAATATACCTTTTTGCAAGAGGGTATACTGAAATGTATATTTGCATGGTCAATAGTGTAACCTTAAGTGTATACAGATGGGGAAGGTAATTGCATTTGGATATTCTTATCGATGGTTTCAAAGTAATTGCATATTTTAAGTGATGAGAAGCAACACTGATGGACTTAGTTTAAAACAATTTCATTCTTCCTACAGAATAGATTCCTCTATGAGCCCTAAGAAAGCACCATGCTTAGAAGACAGAAGAGGAAAACATCTTACATTTTCTTAACATCTCCATCATTCCACTTTGACCTTTAATCCTCATTTATATGTACTTTTACTTTGATAGTCATTGCAAAGGTACCTGGCTATATGTGATTTCTAGTAAGAGCCACAAACCACCAAAATGCCCTTTTCCTACTTTTCTCAAAAAAAGCTGGTCAGATTCTCAAATTCATAGAAATGAAACCTTAAATTTTATCATCTTCCATTCTTAAGACAGTCTGTTAGGTTTCATAGTGGTGGCCTACCTGCCTTTCTTCAGCAAGTTAAACTCTGCTCATTTTCAGCCCCTTGCTCTCTGACATGAGACTCTAACTGTAACAGAAGATTACTATGTTTTAGAAGGCGTAGCACAGAAATTTGTTTTATTTGAAGTTCTATTCAGCATTATGTATAGCAGAGTATAGCTGGCTCTGTGCTGTGATGATAGGCTGCAGGACAAATCTGATGGATAGCTGTAACACTCAGGAAAGGCCCATGAATTGCAATAAAGATGCAGTTAGACATCCACTGCTGAGACATTGGATTTACCAAGAGAATAATCATATAAGCATACAGCATTTGTTCAAAGTCCATCAGTGTGGTTCTTTATATCCTGCGTTTTAGGAGTGATGCCAAATACCCTGGCTGCAACAAGGCTACTTGAAAGCACAGATATTGCTTCTTGTAAGCCTTTAGTAGTCTTTGAAATAATGATCAGTTTTTTGTGCCTAGAACAAAGAACTAGTGAAGTCCATAGTCATAAACTATTATTATATTTAAATTTATTAATGGTGCCTACAACATAGAATAAACCAGTCTAGATAGATGTATGATTTATGTATTAAACAGAAAAGATAACATTTTTATATGCAATAGTAACTGACATCAATCCATAAATCTTGACATACATAGATTTAGCTTATCTAATATTTCAACTCATCTGTGTTTTGCTGATGAGAATGATGTTTAAAACCAAGACGCATCAGCAAGTTATCATAAAAGCTACTAGAAAGATACCTTTACCATTAACTGCAAAATTTTTTGTATCAGCATCAAAGATTTTTAGAACTGTTCTTTGAACACTAGTTCATTCTGTAGTGTGCATTTGGAGAGGTGCTGACAAAGTCTCAGCATAGCTTCAAACTAACATTGTTTTATTATTTATGCTGGTTCCAAGGTTCTAACCTATGTCTTGGTAAATAACTATTGCATTTTTCAGTACTATGAAGTCATACTTTCAAGACTACATGCTTTTTGCTCTCACCAAAATAATCCTAACATGATAACAGTTTTTTAAGCATTCCCAAGCAAAATACAGACCCTGATTTCAATATGTCTAGTGTCTAAAATTAATTTGGTTAATATAATAGCTTAACTACCCTGGGGAATGAATGTTTTAAAAGTGAGATTCTTGATTCTCCAAAGAAATGAGAAATTATAATTTGAGAGTCTTTCATATTTCCTGAAGAATGCAATCTGACCAAAATTTATTAGAATAAAAAATAAAGCAAGGTTTACTGCAGAAAGGAAAAATGCTATGTATAAAAGATTACCATTACCATCCAATTTTAACAGTGTTTAAATGAGCACTAATATTCATTAGGTAAAACTTTTTGAATTATGGTATACATGTTAAATGAAACTGAACTGACTTCCTATAGAAATATTACAAATACTGCTGAGCAAAATAATTTTATTTTCCAAAGCCTCACAATTTCAGTGGAAAATTTTGCAAACTTGCATCGATTTAGAAATTGATAGTACTTGCACACATGAACTCCAATTGTCAGCCTCCGCCTGAAGACACTGCAACTTACTTGCATACTTTCAACAAATGTAGGCACTATGTGGACAGTGTTATTCAGGTAGTTCGAATAGCAGAACAAAGTGTCCAAAGAACACATTGTATTTTCATTAAAGCTTGGAATACTGGGAAATGCACAAAGGCCTGGAAATAAATCCTAAAATTGATATTCAAAAAAGGTTAGTAGATTTAAGACAGCCAGATAGGCGGTTCAGACAGTTTCAGTCAAGTAAAGGTTTGCTCCAACATCTAACTCAGCATAGAAAAGACTGTAACATAGTTGACGTCAATCAACATTACTTTCTGCTATCCTTTTCATTACCAAATCATAGTGCAACTGATAAAGGCAGATGTATTACTGTAGAGCTTTAGTATCACATCATATTCTGATTAAGGAATTAACACCACCACCACACCCCCCCTCCAAAAAAAACCCCCCAAACCCCAAAAAACAGTCGGGAATTAAAAAAAGGCTGCAACTACTAGGTCTTTCCAAATAGTTTTCAGTAATAGTGTATTATTTGTTATTTTTCGTTTGTTTCCATCAGGACCAGCTTTTGCCCTAGTGGTATTTTCATCTGGATTAACTTTAACAATAACTCAGAAGTTTGCAGTAACAAGATTGATTTGAATGGTAAGTGAAGATGAAAACAGGTCATTTGACTCGGATAACTTGATTCTGTATTGTGGGGGACTGAAAGAGTTAATGTCTCAAACATTGTGTTGGGGCAAGTTCTGCTTAACAAGGAACCCTGCACAGCAAGGAACCCAGGTGAAAAGCAGTCCATCAGCACCCACCAGCAACAGGAGGGGGAGGCCGTGCTGGACAGCGCACGGCTCCCTGTTCTGATGT